AGAGGAGGGCCCTGACCTGCTCAGCACCACACAGCTGGAGAGTGATAGACCCAGGGCTGGAGCGAGACCCGAGAGGGTGCACGGATGGATGATCACATATTGGCAGAACCTGGGCGTGACCACAGGCTACAGAGAGTGGAGAACTGATCTGATGAACTGATTGCAGGAGGCAGGGTGATGCCACGCGCTAGCTAGCCCTCACCTCTCTTCTGGAAAGCGTGGGGAAAATGGAGCTGCTTTGAGGGCTGGCTGCGGAGCAGTGGCATGGAGACCACCCTCTCCCAGATGTGGCCAGAATGAAGGAGGGTTTTCCTATTGTTCTGATGTGAGGAGGCAACACTGCAGACCAGAAGGGGTTAAAAGGACAGTAATTTACTTTATTTTTAGTTTTTAAAACACAGTCTCTCTCCGTCACCCAGGCCGGAGTGCAGTGGCACAATCTCGGTTCACTGCAACCTCCGCCTCCTGGGATTAAGCGATTCTCCTGCCTCAGACTCCCGAGTAGCTGGGACTACAGGCATGTACCACCATGCCTGGCTAATTTTTTGTATTTTTAGTAGAGATGGGGTTTTGCCATGTTGGCCAGGCTGGTCTCAAACTTCTGGCCTTAAGTGATCTGCCCACTTCAGCCTCCCGAAGTGCTGGGATTGCAGGCGTGAGCCACTTCGCACAGCCCACAGTTTAGTAATTTAATTCCCCCTCTGTATTTTGATGTGGCAGATGTTTACTGAGCACTTAGCCACGTGCCAGCCATGGGTGGAAGCACTTAGCATTGTCTCATTTAATCCTCACAACTCCATGGATAGATAGCACGATCAACCCCATTCTGCAGATGAGCAAACCAAGGCTAAGGGAGATAAACCGGCTGGTCAGTGGAGCTGGATGCCGACCCAGACGGTCTGCTGTGGACCCCCATGGTTAATCATGCCTCTGCTGCCTGCTCTATGAGCTGCTTGTTTTCTAAATAAATCTAAGGCCCTGGCACCCAGCAGTTACTGTGCAAATACCATGTCAGTGGATGAATCCATAAGTTAGTGAAAAATGGCCCAAGTAAATGAACCCGTGAGTAGGAAGTGATTTTTAGAGACCATTTAGTCCTCCCTGAAGCAGTGGCAAGTGTCTTATCTGCAACGCCCTCGCTGAACAACTCCTTGGCTTCCCCCTGAGACAGGGAGCTCACCCTCTAACCTCATGGGCAGCACCAGCTCTCAGAGGGAGCAGGGAGGCTGAGCCTGCAGCTCTGCTGGAGCACAAGACATCAGAGCTGGGGACACCTCATGCCCCTCCACACCTCCTGTGTGCCCCGAGAGGGAAGGAGTCTGCATTTCCTGAGTCCCGCACTGAGTAGGGGTGAGGGGTGGGCAGGCTGAGACTGGGCTTACACAGGGGTCGGTAAGGGGCCTGGAGTCCTGGTGGGATTTCTGGAATCAGACTGCCTGGGTGGAACCTCTGCTGTGTTCCTGAATCCCCTGTACCTTATCTGTAAAACCCACATTATAAAGTGACTCCCTGAGGTCAGGAGTTTGAGATGAGCCTGGCCAACATGGTGAAACAGAAGGGGTTGGGGTACCAGAAAGGAGATGGAGTTGGAGGGAGGGAGCCTGTGGATGACAGCCTGACCTCCTGGCTCCGGGGTTTCCCCACGGCCCCAGAGATGCCATCTACCCTGATAAGGACACCAGGGGAGTCCCAGTGACTTCCTGTCTACCCACTGGTGACTCCGCCACTCCTGACGCCCATGCTCCATCCGCCATGCCCTCTGCCCTCAGGGCCGCTGGCCTGTGATAGAGCAGCTGGGGCTGGGGCTGAGGCCCGGGGCTGGGACCTTCACTCACTAGGTGCACTTGGGGAGGTTTCTTAACCTCTCTGTGCCTCAGATCATCTAGTAAATGGGGGCACATGCCTTTGCCTTGTTTGCCTTCTAAAAGTAAAGTAAAGGGATGAGGCCAGACGTGGCGGCTCATGCTTGTAATCCCAGTACTTTGGGAGGCTGAGGAGAGCAGATCACCTGAGGTCAGGAGTTCAAGACCAGCCTGACCAACATGGTGAAACCCCGTCTCTACTAAAAATACAAAAGATAGCCAGGTGTGGTGGCGCATGCCTATAATCCCAGATACTTGGGAGGCTGAGGCAGGAGAATTGCTTGAACCTGGGAGGCAGAGGCTGCAGTGAGCCGAGATCGCACCACTGTTCTCCAGCCTGGGAGACAACTCCATGTCAAAAAAAATAAATAAATAAAGTTGTAAAGTGGCTTCTGCCTCTCCGGGCGTGGTGAGGAGACTGTGGGCTGATTCCTATAATGGGCCTAGCACAGTGCCTGGTTGCCAGGATTACATACTAGCTATTATTATCGCCTGTGGCCACCAGACAGAGTTGGACACTCTCTAGCTCCACCCCTTCATCCCAGGGCTGCTGGGCTAGGTCCTGGTATGGTGAGGGGAGGGGTTCCCAGAGACAAAGTCCCTCACCCCACAAATGCTCCCTAGGTACCTGCTGAAGCAATTTCGTGACCCTGTCTCTTTTCTTCCCTTTATCTTTTTTTTTTTTTTGAGACAGAGTTTCGCTCTTGTTACCCAGGCTGCAGTGCAGCAGCACAATCTCAGCTCACTGCAACCTCCACCTCCCGGGTTCAAGCGATTCTCCTGCCTCAGCCTCCGGAGCAACTGGGATTATAGGCTCATGCCACCACGCCTGGCTACTTTTGTATTTTTAGTAGAGATAGGGTTTCACCATGTTGGTCAGGCTGGTCTCGAACTCCTGACCTCAGGTGATCCACCCTCCTCGGCCTCTCGAAGTGCTAGGAGTGCCCTTATTTACTAGATGATCTGAGGCACAGAGAGGTTAAGAAACCTCCCCAAGTGCACCTAGTGAGTGAAGGTCCCAGCCCCGGGCCTCAGCCCCAGCCCCAGCTGCTCCATCACAAGCCAGCGGCCCTGAGGGCAGAGGGCATGGCGGATGGAGCACGGGCGTCAGCAGTGGTGGAGTCACCAGTGGGTAGACAGGAAGTCACTGGGACTCCCCTGGTGTCCTTATCAGGGTGGATGGCATCTCTGGGGCGGTAGGGAAACCCCAGAGCCAAGAGGTCAGGCTGCCATCCTCAGGCTCCCTCCCTCCAACACTCCATCTCATGCCCGAAATCCATCTGCGCTCAAGCAGGAGACTCGCAGGGCAGAGGAGGCCTGCACACCCATCACTGCAGCAGAGGTGGCATTGGTTGTTGCAAGTTTGCCATGGGGAAGAGGGGCAAGAGGGAGCTGGGACTAGGAATGCCAGTGGGGTCAGGGCTGGTCTCCAGGAATGGATCTGGGCTGTGGCCAGCAGATCCCCCTCCTTTACCACCTTGGGGAGTCAGAGAGGGCTCCAGTCCAGACCCAGCTTCACCAGACCTGGGCCACCACTGCTCCCATCTGACCGTCTGTCCACCCATCCCTGCTTCACCGCCTGCGTCTCATCTCTACCTCGGATCCTTTGTTCAGACACAGAATTGAGCCGGCCTCCTCCTCCTTGCTCCTTAAACACGAAGCCCTGGCCTCAGGGGACATCTCAAAGGTCCCTTTCCTCACTGCATTCAGCCTGTGTTTATGTGTTTCTTCCCAGATAGCATCTCAGCTGCCCCACCCCACTTCCACCACTCTTTCCCGTTTCCTGGCTTAATTTTGCTCCATAATTCTTAGCACTGAATTTATTTATTTATTTGTTTGTTTGAGACAGAGTCTCACTCTGTTGCCCAGGCCGGAGTGCGGTGTTGCAATCTTTGCTCACTGCAACCTCTGCCTCCCAGGCTCAGGTGGCTCAGGTGGCTCAGGTGGCTCAGGTGGCTCAGCCTCCTGAGCAGCTGGGATTACAGGCTCACGCCACCACACCCAGCTAATTTTTGTAGTTTTAGTAGAGACAGGGTTTCACCATGCTGGCTAGGCTGCTCTCGAACTCCTGACCTTAGGTGATCCCCCTGCCTCAGCCTCCCAAAGCCCTGGAATTATAGGGGTGTGCCACTGTGTCCAGCTGCCACTGGACCTATTTAATACTTATTTGCTTATTCATTTCTTGTTTTTCTCTCCGCAGTTCTAAGAGGGCAAAGGTTTCTGTGTTTTCTTGGCTGCAGGATCCCCCATGCCTGGCATAGGGCCTGGTGCCCAGCAGGCCCTCAACAGACACTGGCTGAGGGCATGACGCACCCCCGCCTGCCCACACTTCCATCCATCCGCCGTCTGTGCTTTCTTCCCACACTTCCACACGTCAGTCACCCAGAATTTCTCCATCCCAGGCCCCGTGCTGGTTCTTGGGTTTGGTGCTCTGGCAGGGCACACAGATCAAGAAGGAAAGAATTCCGACACCTGGGGATTGGTCCCAGCCGAGGGGGAGCCTGGGGGACCGTGGGGGAAACCAGGTGAGGGGAGGTGAGGGAAGGTGCATTTGGGTGCAGGCAGCGCCTCGCACCAGCACCAGGCGTGACCCACAGCGGCACCTGATAGAGACTCTGTAGAAGAAATGAGCAATCGCCTGGATGGCTTCTAGAAGGTGGGGTGGGGCTCTGTGTTCTCAATGTTGCGGATGTGAGGTAGGAGTCAGAAAGCACCAGACAAGGGGTGCCTGGTGTGAGAACTTGAGAAGCTTCCCCTTGAGAATTGCGGGACTGAGACAAGGAGTGAAGGGTGAGACGGGGCGGGAAAGGCAGGGTTAGGGGCGACTAGGCCAGGGCCTGCCTGGAAGACTCTGTCCTCTGGGGACCCTCCCAGGATGCCTGGAGCAGGGGCCGCTGTGCCCTTTCTGGGAAGAGACCTCCAGCCCTGCCTTTTGCCTATCTCAGTTCTCCCTCTGTCCGGCGTTCTGCAGGAGGCTGGACACTCAGCAGAATGAGCAGGACTCCCCATCCCCCTCGCCTCGGCCTCCCGACCCCACCAGCTGCTGGCTAGGGCCTGTTTTTATCACAGGCAGGTGAGTCTGGGCCCCGGATTCAGGCGGGGCCTGGACGGAGGGAGGAGGCAGGAAGAAACTCACAAAGAGTTGGCAGATTACGAATGAGGGGCAGCATTTCCCAACAGCCCTGGGGGGCCGCTGAGACCCAGAGACACCAAGGACTCCCCCAGCCTCATCCAGCAGCCCCTGCTTCCCGGGAGAGAGGCGAGGGGTGGGGGGACTCAGCACCCAAGGGCCAGGTTGGTCCCTGCAAGGATACCTGGGAATAAGAGAGGGTGGCGGCTTCAGTGGCTGCAGGGCAGCCGGAAATGGGGCGAGACAGCAGGCGGAGCCTCACCTGGGGCTGCCCGCCAGCCCAGACAAGCTCAGACTGGGTGCCTGCGGCCCTGGAGGAGGCAGAGGGGGAGGAGCAGACCACACAAGCTCCGCAGGGCAGTGAGGGACCTGCCCAGACCTGGAGGTAAGAGGCGGGTGGGCCACGGGGTGGGAAGGGTAAGTGGGGCGCCGCAGACAGCCCGTTTCTCTTGACCTTGGTGCCCCTCAGGTCTAGTTCAATGCCCTGAGGGTCCCGGTGTGTGTGGCCTGGCCCTCGGCCTGTGCAGGGTACCGGGTGTCTCTCTGTGGAGGCCCTGGCTGTTCTGGGGTTACCCCCTGCCTCCCACAGCGTGGCCGGGCATGCTGGCGTGATGGCCATCCTAGCACCCGGACACTAGCAGGTGTGAGGTGTGTCCCCGGCGTCCAGAGGAGGATGCTGCAGGACGCGGGGCCAGGGTGACGCCGTGGACCCTGAGCGTGGACGGGAGGCAGGCAGCAGGACCCGAAGCCTCCGGCCTGCCTTCCCCAGTGCCCTGAGCCGCTTCCTCCTGGCATCCCACAGAAACCGGTTTGGGAGCAGGTTGGCCCAGGTCGGGTCTTTTGACTTTTGACTTGGGGGAAGAAGGCCAGCTCCCCTGGCAAGCCAAGTGGAAGGATCGGGGTGCAGGCCTGGGGGCGTGCCCAGCCAGCGGCCAGCAGAGGGTCCCCCTGCTGCCCCCAGCTCCCTGCACCCACCAGCACGGCCCTCCCTGCCCTGGCTGTAAGAGGCAGGAGGGGAACCTCAAAGGGTCCCTCCCTTCACCAGCTGCTTGTCTCCTCTGGGCCAGGCTCCTCAATGGTGGCTGAGGACTCTTTGGAACAGGGAACTGTCGTGGAAGAAAGGGCCCGGCCCTGCCACTGCCTCCTGTGGGACCCTGGGCCAGGCTCCCTTTCCCTCCGGGCCTGTTTCCCTGTCTGTTCCATGAAGGAGGGGCAGGGGCAGTGGTCTATAAACCCAGAAACTGCAGAAGTAGGCCCCTCCCCTGGTCTCATGGGCCGCACACGCCAGCCAGAGGTGGGTGTCTGGAGTTGCGGAAGGGGAGGGGGTTGCTGGCGCCGTGCCTGCTCTACCAACTTGGCTCCCTGGGACGTGTGGGCAGCAAATGGGCCCCCCACATTCCCTCTGTTAATTAGGCAGCCCCTGCTAATGAGTGGCTGTCATCATGACTCCATTACTCGTTCTGAGCCATCTGTGCCCCAGCACTTAGGGGGAGACCCCAGGGGCTTCTGGCTGCTGGGCATGGCACATGTGGAAGGCGGCATTTCTGGGAGGTGTTGGGGGGCTGGGCGCTCCGTGGGCTTTCCACAAAGTAGTTTCAACTGCAGCTCTTTATTTTACCAAGAGAGGTGATGGCAGCCCTGGTTTCCAGGTGAGGAAACAGAGGCACCCTCTTTATGATCCTCCCAGTGGGAGGTCTCTTGTAGCCAACACCTTAACACATTCTGTGCTGGGCACTGATGGGGTGTTAACATGCAGAGGGAGTCGGAGTGGAGGTGGGGTGCACGGGGAGATCAACGCCGACATCTGGGGACACTGGCATCGAGTGAGATGATACACTGCCCTCCTCGAGATGGAGCAAGTACTGCCACCTTTGCACACTGCTGTGCCGCCTTGTGGTTAGTTACTAAACCTCTCTGAGCCTCATTTGCCTCCCTTGGCACAGGAGCGACAATGCCTCACTGCCTGACCAGAGGCACCTGACCCAGGCCTGGCATCCAAGCAGCTGCCACTCAGACCTCACAGGCCAGGGCCAAGAGAGCTGCTGATGGCAGAGGCACAATTTTAGAGGCAAGAGCAGCAGCTGGGATGTGGCCTTGAGGTAAGGGGGTGCTGGTGACCCCATGCCACAGCTGGGACCCCAAGTTCAGGAAGGGAGGTGTCTACAGAGGAGTCAGAAGCCTCTTCTGATGCTCTCCACAGGGGGAATTTGGATTTTAAAAGAGAACCCAAGCTGGGCGTGGTGGCCCACCTGTAATCCCAGCTCCTCGTCAGGCTGAGGTGGGAGGATCCTGTGAGCTCAGGCATTGAGGCTGCAGGGAGCTCTGATCGCACCACTGCACTCCAGCCTGGGCAACGGAGCAGGACCCCGTCTCTTGAAAGAGAGTGGGGATCCCATATCTAAACCTAAGATACAGCAGTGGCAGTGACAGAGGTCCTCTAAGATAGGCTGATAGCCCGATTTTACACGTGAGGATACTGAGGCACAGACAGCTCGAATCTGGACAATTTGATGCAAAATCTCACAGTTGGCTATTTGGAGCGGTTTAGGGTGATCCTGGGTGGAGTCTAGGTGGAGCGATGGGCAGTTTGGAGCCTCCCAACCACTGGGGCTCCCCAAGACAAGGCTGCCTCTAGCCAGGCATCGGGCAGGGGTCCTCCCAGGAGCCACACTCGGAGGAGGGGCTGTGCTTCTGGTTCCAATTCCCTGAGCTGCAGAGGGCACCGTGACATCCAGGGATGCGTAGAGTCTTACCCAAGAACCCAGGCCCCTGGATGCCCAGTCATGTACACCGCAAGAGGGACCTACGATCATGGGAGGCATGTGATTGGGTGAGGAAGGGCTTGTTAGAGGTAGCCCAGCCTTGCTCTGGGCTCAGGGGCTTTTGAAGGCTGGAGGGGCAGGGATTTGGCCAGAATGACCTGTTCTGGCTGGATCTGACCTTCCTGCCAAGTGCTCCTGGGAGGCTAGGCAAAAGGTCAGACATTCCGTCATGCTTAGGAAGAACGGGTGGCCACGACGTCTACCTTCTATCTCGGGCATTGGGGCACCCAAGCGTGCCTTCCCCGCTGGGGAGGTCAGCAGGCAGGGGTGGGCCTTGGAGGCCCAGCCAGCCTGAACCCTAAAGAACTGCATTCTGCAGTAACCTTTTCCCGGCAGGGAGGGACAGGGTGACCCTGGGGGAGGGAGAACGTCTGTCTGCATTGAGCCCAAGGTCATTTCTTGTTGGCATGTGGTCAAGATGCCATTGGAACTAAGAAGAGGGTATGGAGGGGGGAAAACAGGATTCAAATAAGGCAACTCTGGGCTCTAATCCTGTATGATCTTGAGTCAGCCCCTTTCCGTCTCTGAGCCTCAGTCTTTTCTTGCAAATGGGCAATCCCATGTGGGGGAAAATGCATCACCTGCCTGGCACAGGATAAGTGCTCAACAGGAATCCACCTGCTCCACGTCTGCAACCTTCAGGGGCAGGGTGGAGAGAGGCCAGTGCTGCAGCCAGGTGTGGACATGGGAGCCCGGCTGGCACCCGGGGAGGGCCTCAAGCCCTGACCACAAGCCCCAGAGCTTTGAAACCAGATGCAGCTTAAACATGGGCGGAGCACCTGACCAGGCTCCACCCACCAAGGGAGCCAGCTAGGTGGAGTCTGTCCTCGGAGCTCCAAATAAGGTCTCAGAAAATAGACTTGGACCTGGCCATGCTCGCCCCTCCTGTGTGCCCGGCCTTTCATCCTATCGTCCGAGCTGGCACCAACCTCTTTTATCCCAAGGCTGGACCTGAAGCGCCATTAGATTTGTCCTGTTTTAGCGGTGAGGATGACCTTGCTTCCCCCGCATCGTGGCTAGGCCAGGCTCCCTGCTTTTTCCCGACTGGGGGATGGGTAGTGGGTGGGGGAGGCAGGCTTAGGGAACCAGACACACAGCTCCCTTTGTGAAGGCGGCTGAGTCACATGTGCGCCGCAATCCCTGCTGGGCCCTGGGGCGGGTGTGATGGGAGATGGTGTTATCATGGGTACCCCGCGCCTGTGTTCAGGAAGTTTTCCCACAGGAAAGCGCAGGGAGGTGGCTGGGAGCACTGGCCATTAAAACACGTGGTCTGAGATCGGGTCCTGAATTTGTTTCTGACTTGCTGTGGGGCTTTGGGAAGGTCCTCTCTCTGAGCCTCAGTTTTTACCTCTGCTAAATGGGAATGATCAGAATCTGCCCCCTGCTCTCCCTTCCTTCCACATGCTCAGTTTTGTAGAGGAGGTAGTAGATGTGAAAGGCCTCTGCAAACTGCAATTGGTGGAGTGCTGGGCCTTTGGCATCCATGTGGACTTTATGATAATACTAATGATGTTGGCTAAGATTTATTGAGCACCTACTGTGTGCCAGGCATTGTGCTCCATGGTTTATACGGTCACTCGGCTTGCAAGGGGAGAAGCCTGGATGGAACTGCTCTTGTCTGAAAAATACCCAACTCTGAGGCTGGGCGCAGTGGCTCACACCTGGAATCCCAGCATTCTGGGAGGCCACAGTGGGAGGATCACTTGAGCTCAGGAGTTCAAGAGTGGCATTGTAGCAAGTGTGGGCAATGTAGTGAGACTCCGTCTCTCAAAAAAATACAAAAATTAGCCTGTGTGGTGGAGCATGCCTCCAGTCCTAGCTACTTGGAAAGCTGAGGTGGGAGGATCGTTTGAGCCCAGGAGATTGAGGCTGTAGAGAGCTGTGATTGCATCACTACATTCCAGCAAGGGCAACCGAGCGAGACCCTGCCTGGAAAACAACACACAAAAAAACCCACTTCTGAGCAGACAGAGGTTGCCTGGCCATTGCACAGGTGGGGACAGCTCTTCACTATTTGCTAGGCTGGTTCCCACTGAATGCTGCTGCTCTGGCTGGAGGGTTAGAGCTGGAACAAGGGGCTGAAGACCTCCTCCGAACCCTCCCAGCCCCACCATGTCTTCCTACTTCCCCAGGCCTCAGTCACCGCAGACAGTAAGGTTGCCCCAGCCTCTTCGCCCTGTTCTGGGGCCCTCGTGTCCTTGAAGATCTCCTTCTACTCCCCTGGCAGCTCCCTCTCTGCCTCCTCTGCAGGCTGCTCTGAATACCAGTGTCCTGGCCAACACATCAGCAGTGCCCATTCTCTGCCAGGCCTGGGCTGCAAGATTTACCCCGTGGCCTCATTTAATTGGCCCAATAGGAGGTGCTATTTTGGTCTCCACTTGGCAGGTGAGGAGATAAATGGATGGAGAGATGCTTTCCCATGTCATCCAGCTGGCCAGCTGGGAGTAGAAGCCAGTTGACCTGAACCCGAGTTCTGAGTCTGTGATCAGAGACCCCAGGCTCAGAGAGGGGGAGCAGCAGAGCCGCTCTCCTCCACCCCTCAAAACGAAGTGCTCCTGCATCTTCAGATTTCTTTCTCCCTATACCATCTCTGGACTCTGTTGCCAGCCATGATCTTCTGTGGGCCTGGGGACCCTAGTCCCTCACTCCTGAGCCCCACTGACGTGTTTCCAGCTGCCTTGGGAAGCAGGGGGGACCCACATGCCACAGAGCTACCCCTGTCAACTGCACACAAGGGCAGTCTCTTCCTTGCCCTCCGGATCTGCACCCCATCCTGTGCCCCCAATGCTTCAGGGACGTTTCCAACATCTTCTTCCTCTCCTCTGTCCCCACCTTCACTTGTCGGGTTGTGGTGGTGGGGGGTAGGGTGTTTCAGCCCTTTTCTTGGTCTCTGGGACCAAAGTCTCCTCCCCAGCCCTTCCCCTTGTCTGTTGCCTTCAAGGCCCCACCTCGACCTGACTTCCCCGGACCTGACTACCCCCCACCCAGACCTGACTCCCCCCCACCCGAATCTGACTCCCCACAACCCAGACCTGACTTCCCCCCACCCGGACCTGACTCCCCCCAACCCAGACCTGACTCCCCCCCACCCGGACCTGACTTCCCCCCGACCCGGACCTGACTCCCCGCCACCTGGACCTGACTTTCCCCCACCCCGACCTGACTCCCCACCCCACTCCTCCGCATCCTTGCTGATACAAGTCCCTAGAGTCCAGACCAGGGCTTCTCACGCCTCCAATTCTGGAACCCCCTGGGGATCCTATTAAAACACCCATTCAGATTCAGCAGGTCTCAGGCTATCTGTAGGTCTGAAGACCACATTTTGAGGGCTAATCAGGTCTCTCCTACCCAAACACCTTCTCTGGCTCCCCAGTGCCTTTGATTGAAGCCAAAACTCCACATTTTCTTTTTTTTTTCTTTCTTTCTTTCTTTCTTTTTTTTTTTTTTGAGACGGAGTTTCGCTCTTGTTACCCAGGCTGGAGTGCAATGGCGCGATCTCGGCTCACCGCAGCCTCTGCCTCCTGGGTTCAGGCAATTCTCCTGCCTCAGCCTCCTGAGTAGTTGGGACTACAGGCACGCGCCACCATGCCCAGCTAATTTTTTGTATTTTTAGTAGAGACGGGGTTTCACCATGTTGACCAGGATGGTCTCAATCTCTCGACCTCGTGATCCACCCGCCTCGGCCTCCCAAAGTGCTGGGATTACAGGCTTGAGCCACCGTGCCCGGCCCACATTTTCAAAATCTTCCAGAATCTGCCCCCTGCTCTCACTTCTTTCCGAGAAAGGTCCCACTTCCTTCCAAGAAAGGCTCCACATCCTGCCTCTCCCCCTCAGCCAATGCTGTTCCCTCAGCCTGGGATGCCCTTCCTGCTGCTGTCTGTTTATCAAAGCCCCCTTCTTCTCCTTCAAGGCTCAGCAGGGGCTCTGGGGTCCACACGCTCAGTTCAGATCCTGGCTTTGTTACAGAAAGGTGTGGGTAGCCCTCCCTGTACCTCGGTTCCCCTTCTGGAAAGTGGAGATAGACTGTTGCGAGACACCTGGAGGCCAGCGAGGTCCAGGCTGTGTGAGCTTGACTAAGTTACTTCATGTCTCTGACCGCCTCTCACATACCAGTGGTATCCAGCCCACAGGGGTGCGTGAATAAAATGAGAATGATCCGCAAAAGCAGAGCATCTTACACCATAAAACCTCGAGACATAGCAGTTATTATTAGTCCTGTTATCGGTGCTCATAACTAGTGTTGTGTTTAATAATTCATTGACTTTCTCCCTTTGACT